ATACTTTCATTATTACATTCTTTAGTTTCACGTTTAACGTAAAAGAAATTAAAATTCTTTTCTCGCTTTTACCCTTTACCTTTCTTGTGTAGTTTTCCAATGAAGGGCAGGTAAGCCTACGTAAAAATATTGTGGTGACTCGTAGGTTTAAGACGCCCGCTTCACATGATACCGCAGACAAAAGATTAAGGAAAACATCGTGACAAAACGTGGACATAAAGTTTCTAATTATAAATTTGAAATCGCTAACACGCATCCGATCACGATCCAGTGAGAATTACCGCGCTTTGCTCAATGAGCATGACTATGCTCAAACCTTTTCCGTGCGAGAAGAGGGAAAATGCCTTTAGTCAACAGTGGTCACTTATAGGCTGTTGATGTGAAGCCTATGTCCTCCCAAAGGGGTAGGCAGAGGTGTACATTATGCCACTGTACAATGTAACACCCACTTTTTTCACTATTTATGTTATGAGTCCCATTTAATAGGGAGTGAGCCTATTGCCATATACCGCGCACAATTCCAGACTCCGTGCTACTACTGAGAATTTATAAAAACTCAGTAGTACTTTTCCCGACCCGGTAATCGAACCCGAGACCCCTTGCCCGGCAGTCGTACTTGCGACCACTCGGCCATCGAAGCACTTGAGTACATATAGAAAGTAAAAATATTACATACAAACAGATTTTCGCATTCATACCATTAGTTCGGATTGTCATTTAGGACGCCTATTGTATTGTATTTTCCCTAAAGTGTGGTAATGCGTAGCTAGTAACGGTAAACTCTTTGTTTTGGAAAACAGATTGTATACCTGTATTTTAGGTCAACAAAAATTACTCACCCTGTAGTCATTATACTGTTGTACAATCGCCAGCAGGTCAAATTTATTCATTGAATTTTCGACTTTATATCAATACTAGCTGTTACCCGCGACTTCGTCCGCGTGAAATAACGACTTCTGTATAAATTGGGTTTTTCAAATTAGTCTTTGTCAAGGTATATTCTACGGCTGTACAACTGGAACAAATATCATCACAATCGATTCAGTACCTAGGTTATATTTATTGAGAAATGAATTTATTTTCGTGGTTTCTAAAATAAACAATCCTATAGAGGTTTTACCCGTACAGTGCCCGTCTCGTGAGGTTTCACTATTCTATGTTTGCAAACCAATGTTGTATCGCATTTCAATCAAATAGATATAGTGATTTTAACAGCACAGTTCCCGGTTTCGTGGGTTTTTCGGGTTAAAAACTTTTAGATGTCCTTTCCCGGGTCTCAAACTATCGCTGTACCGAATTTCACCAAATAGGTTCAATGGTTTAAAAGGTAAGAGCCCCTCTTTATTTCAACGTCCTTGGTCCTGGTTTTTTAGCGCATAGTTTCCGTCATTTTGGGATTTCCTCTCTCCTATAATGTGATCTGATATGTACCGGTGCGACGTGCGTTACTATCGCAAACATTTAAATGAAAAAATAGGTATTCTGATATTAGGTTAGTTACATATGATACATGTACTTTAATGTTGATCTTAATGTCCTCTATAAGACTTAATACATCCCTTGGCTCTATTGTCCATAATTTCCACAGCGTAATCAATACCAATAATATAAGGAGTTTTTTTGGTAGTTTTTCACACATCGGGTTGTCATTACCTAAAGGAGATTTTTTTATGAGGTCGGAAAATCATCCAATCACTTTTCCCGCCTTGGGTTAGGTGACAGGGAGTGACAGATTCTTACTGACTAAAATCCACTTCGTTCCTACTCCTGCTCGTCGAGCTGGAGCCCCGTCAATTCGTTAGGCCTCCCGCGGCACCGTATCGAGCATCAGCCCTACTGGGCTCCATCTATGATGGTGTCATGGCTCTGTAAGGCGCGCGCCGTATGCACGGGACTGGTTCTGGTCGGGTGGCGAGCTACCCTTGCTCTTCGTCTACAGACCCGCACTTACGGTGGCCGGTGGCCGGCCGATCTCCGCCGCCCAGAGTGTCTCCCGCGACGGCTGGGGCGTGAGGAAGTTCATTCCCTCACGCGCTCCGCTTTCTCCTTGGCAAGCATAACTGCTTCGCAGAAGGATGCGACTGCATCCCAATCCCCCTCGTTCCATGGCCTGAACCAGAGCCGAACGCGAGAGGTCACCGTTTCCTACATCCCTGAGAACACGGCGGTGCTCAGCCCATGCAAGGTACACCGCCACGGTATGCTCCACCGTATTCTCCGGGCGGTCCTTGCATTGATGGCCTCTCTAAAGCCACTTTTAAAGAGGGGACTTTCCGCTGCAATGACAGCGAGCCCAGCCCTCGGTTACCTAAAGGAGTGTTTTGCTGTGTAAGTGAGGTTACCGGAGGCCCAATTACCCCTCCCCCAGCCCCCCCAATCCCTGACAATCCTCAAATTACCAATTCCCAAAAGACCGGTAATGCACTTCTAGCACTTCTGGTGTTACAGGTGTCCATGGGCGGCGCAGATTGCTTACCATCAGGTGATCCGTCTGCTCGTTTACCGGCTTATGCCATAAACAAACGGCAAACTATCATAGTGAATTTGGCCTTGACGGTCTAAAATGAAAAGGACTAATATTATTTTTTAGCTATGTGCATTTAGCTAGTTTTTTTGATATACATATAAAAAATACGAATTCAAGTAAACTGAAAATATTTTATTCGTGGTTTTATCTCCTTAGACTGCTACCAACCTCTTTGCATACCTTAATGTTAATACCATAGTATAAAAAAAATCTATGACACATTGACTTTGTAAACTCACTTGTCACACAAATGTCAGATGACTTAAGAAATGTATACTAATAATATAAATTTGTATGTGCTTGTTTGTTTGTTTGTCCGTATTTCACGACAGAACGGAGTCAGGAAGGTTTTTGATTTGAGATAGTTGAAAAGATGGAGAGTATCATAGGCTACTTTTTGTCTTTTTCTAACCCCCTTCCACTTCCGTGAAACAGAGGTGAAAGTTTGTATGGGGTATTTTGCAATTTTCAATGTGGAAAGCTAACAATTGATATGCGGGTTATTTGTGACCAGCATAGAATCGTGCATCATTTCATTTTTTATTTTAAATCCTTCCCTCACCCCATTAAAAGAACGCGAGAGAAGCCGTAGACAGAGGCTAGTCTATGAATAAATTGTATTCAGTCAATTGAATTAGTATTTTGTCTTTAAAATCCCTGATCCCTGATGCAGCTGAATACTAATATTATTCCTTGAAAACCCACAGAACTTCATTTTTATATGTTGATGCCAAAATATATTATGGAAGTAGGACGCCATAACAATTACAAATCATCAGGTTGGTTACCATAGTAATGTTACCTGTCAGATATCCGTTTTCAGGTTTTCAGATAAATCGTAATAATTATTCTTAAAAATCGACATAGTGAGTCGAAATTTCAAAAACGTTAGAACAAATGTTTTATTATTTTTTATCAAGAGCTTAAATATAAAGTTTCATGGTTTTATCTTTAAAAATTATGAAATCCCATACAACTCCCCCCCCCCCTTTTAACCCCTTACAACCCCTTTTTCGCGATAAAAAGTAGCCTATGTTTTATCTCGGGGTCTAGAATATCTGTATACCAAATTTCATTCAAATCCGTTCAGTAGTTTTGGCGTGAAAGAGTAGCAGACAGACAGACAGACAGAGTTACTTTCGCATTTATAATATTAGTTAGGATGGTAAAGTAGAAAAGAAATTTTACAGAAAAGAGCTACCGTACAATTCAAATAAAAACTTTTAGGATTTTTTTTTAATGTGGGAAAATCATCGAATGACTGCTCCCGCCTGGGTGAGGCGGGAGGGAGTGTCAGACTCTTACTGACTAAAAACCACCCCGTTCCTTCTCCTGCACGTCGAGCCGGAGCCCCGGTTACCCGTTAGGTTCTCCGCGACAACTTTTAGGATTTAAAATATTACCATAAATTGAGAACATATAATAAAAGTTATGGTAGTGCAAAAGTATTATTGTTGCTGACTGTACTGTATCTACACGGTCTGACATACATAAATATACAAACTAGCGGAAATTTTGTACATTTTAATTGCCATTAGGTCATTAAATAAATAAACTTTATAGCAAATAGGAGCATTTGTGGAAAAATAATTAATTAGGTGTGTGTCATAAAATTATCTTTGTGGTCGACGGTAGTAAAGTGTTTATTGTTTCCAATAAAATCGTTAAGTTGAAGGTAGGTGTTAAGAACTATGAAGCCGCGGAAAACTTGAGTTACCGGGGCTCCACCTCGAAGAACAGAAGTAGGTGTTTTTAGTAGTGGATTTTAGTTTATAAGAGTCTGCCACTCCGTCTCGAGGCGAGAGAAGTCATTGGATCATTTTCACCACTTAAAATAGTTAAAGTTGAACAAACATTCTAAATACTATAATTGGGAACACTGGTTAACTCGTCGAGTACCGGTTTTATAGACACAATTAAAGAACAATAGGTCGCGGTCACCGGTGACCGCTTGGTGTTTGACAGTTTAATTAAAAATAAATAATTATAATTCTATTTCGTATTCCCAATTTACGTTGTGATTATACAATTTATACAGAATAGATTTAAATGCCGTTTTTTTTTTTTTTTTATTTCGAAATATCAATATACTAACTACAGAACGCAGCCGTAAACGTGACAGTATCAATAGTACATGTATGACATTGACTTTGACGTTTCTGACCTGTCAATGTATCAGCTGACTGACACACTGACTGTGTTTATTGTCAGTGTCAGTGTCACTGTCATTGTCAAATCAATGTGAATCGAATCGAAGTGTATTCTAATTTCTATGGAAGGGAAATTACCGGAACTTATTTTAGACTTTATTTATAGCATTCTGTGAGAACTAAACAACTAAACCTCATTTTAGTCACGAAAGCGGACTGCATAACTGTGTTATTACGTGTGTATCCATTTATCCGCAAAGTTATACAAAAATAGATCAAAACATAACCACAAATTTATTAAATGTTTACATTTATATTACAAAATGTTTCTGTGTAAAAACTTCCTTGGACAAGCTAAATTATGGAGGAAATTGTTGATAAATCATGCTGCTTCGAATATAGTGCCGTCTTTTAGTCATTATAGCGGTAAGTGATTCAAAATATGCATTGGAAACAAGCGCACATAAGCATGATGCAAGACCCTCTTGAAAATCTAGTACCTAATCCTATCTAAAAATTATATCATAGGTACTAGGTAATTTTATAACTAAGTACTTATACTCTGTTAAGTCAATGACCTAAAGGGTCTCTGATTTGAGGTCTCACCATTTCTTGTTGGTGAGTGTGCTGGGGAAGCGTCACCGATTCATGGTAGATGAATAGGTTGCTTATGGAACGACGTGCCTCAACATAGTCCACATCATTGCTTACGGATAGTGGTACGGACGGCGACATAGGGGTCAAAATCGGCCCACCAAATATAAAAAAGTTCTTCTTTACATTTTCTTGTTCACCACATGCTCTCTTCTCAAATCCGTCTTTTATTTTCTTTCTTCATAATTCTTACAGCACTTTGATCTCGTATCGTAAATCACATTTCGTCATAATAAGTGTTGCTGTGTGCTGGTTGCATACCACATACAAAACAATATACCACATAACGGGATATTTGATATTTGAAGTTGTTTAAAATTGCAACATAACATAACGTCTTTTATCCCAGAAGGGATAGGCAGAAGTGCATATTGCACAATGTAACACCCATTTTTCACAGATTTTATTTATTAAGTCCCATGAAATAGGGGGTGAGCCTATTGCCATATACCCATGCACAATCCCAAAGTTCGTGCTACTTGGTTAATTTTTTTTCCAAGTTCACATACTTACACATGACACCCAGACCCGAACCAACAATTTGTGGATCACACAAAGTGTTGTTCCATGCAGCCGGTTGACCAGCCACCGCACTAACCGTGCAGTCAATTGAACTCAATATTATTCTTATTTTTCTAGGTTCAGCAGTATGCACACAAAATAGAAACCTATTTAGTCACAAAAATGAAAGGAACACATACCATATTACAAAGTTAACACCTCTACATAGAAAATGGTGTTCCAAAGGTTTATTAGATGGTGATGCTGGGGATTTGTTGACTGTTCAACATAATAGAGGTAAATTATACGACAATATTAATTTAATTAAAAAACGCACTATATCCTTAATACATTGAAATATTGTACTGAAAATCCCAATTTTGTTCATACAAAAGTAGTCTTTGAACATTGGAAATAAGGCCTATATTGGTGTAAGTGGACTGCTTGGATCATCAGCAGTTAAAGATATCTGAATCAATACATATAAGTACAGTGGCCACTTGGCCAGCAAGTCAACCAACTCTTTGCTGTCAAATTTCTTTATTAGATGTTCAACTCTATTGTTTATGTGTAAAGTCCAAAATCCAATGACAAAAATTGACACACTGCAATAGGCTGATGTGCTCGCCACTGTACATTAACTAGAGAACACAAATAAAAATTAATTTACTGTCACTTCTCATGTAAATAGCAGCAATCAAAATGTTGATATATCATACTGAACATTAGTTCATACAAAAGTAGTCTTTAAACCTCAGAAATAATGTCTATAATGTAGTAAGTGTCGCGGAGAACCTAACGGGATCTCCGGCTCGACGTGCAGGACAAGGAACGGGGTGGTTTTTAGTCAGTAAGAGTCTGACACTCCCTTCCGCCTCACCCAGGCGGGAGCAGTCACTCAATGATTTTCCCCCCTTAAAAAAAAAATGGTATAGTTGGTCGGTAGTCGTTCTGCCGCGCCTCCGCCGCCGCCGCACGCGCCGTGCGCCGTCGTCGCTCGTAGCTATACACGAGCCGGAGCGGGGTGCGTGTACGGGGTGAAAGGGGACGCAATTCGATGATTTTGCCCCTTAAAAAAAATATAATAATAATAATGTAGTCAGTGGAGAGTCGGCACCGTTGACCACTTAGGGATTGAAGATTTATGAAGTTAAGTTTCATATAACTTACAAAACTTTTTACAATATAAGTTACTTATATTATAATAGTTTACGCTCCCCACATTCAACATTACCTCTAAGGATATTTACAATGTTGTAGTTTTTTAGAAGTTAGTCCCATAATATTGTACTTTCCTAAAAACTAATAACTAAACCAACTACATATTATATTTTCAGTGCAAAAGAAAATCACAGATCTGTTCCCGATGCCCAGAGTGACACTGAACGAGCTAACAAATAAGACACCAAGCCAGATATTTGAGATACATTACAAACAAAACACTGTCGCGCCTAAAGGAAGGAAGAAAGTCGTCCAGAACAATGACTGGACATGTACTTATGCTTTTGTTTGGCCGGAGAAGAAGAAGTTTGAAAGGTGAATATTATTATTATTACTATAGGTACACACGGCCACACATCAATCTATACAAAACCAGTTTATCCTGGTATCGCGTCGCATCATATTTCCGCACATTTAACGTTCAGTTTATACTAGTTATGTAAGGCTTGATGTGTAGCCGTGTGTACTATTCGGACGGAACCCAATAGGGCTGATGACGATACGGAGCCGCGGAGAACTTAACGGGTTGCCGGGGCTCCGGCTCGAAGTGCAGGAGTAGGAACGGGGTGGTTTTTAGTCAGTAAGAGTCTGACACTCCCTCCTGCCTCACCCAGGAGGGAGTGCAGAAGTCATTCGATGATTTTCGCCCCTTACTATAAAAAACATATATAATGTTATCATACTTTTACTGACCCAGGACCCATGACCCAGTGCTTATCAGTCGACTCAACCATCAAGACAGACAGACATTTCTTTTTAACATAGTTAACTGGTGTTACATGTTAACAACATACATAATCGTGTTAAAAACTCTAAATTTCATATTATTAATGTGTATTTCATTTTATTTATTTATACAATAACATATACATAACATCACGCCTTTTATCCCCGAAGGGCTAGGCAGAGGTGCACATTATATCACTGTACAATGTAACACCCACTTTTCACTATTTATGTTATGAGTCCCATGTAATAGGGGGTGAGCCTATTGCCATATTACGGGCACAATTCCAGACTCCGTGCTACTACTGAGAATATTTAAAAACCCAGTAATACTTTGCCCGACCCGGGAATCGAACCCGAGACCCCTTACCCGCCAGTCGCACTTACGACCATTCGGCCAAAGAGGCAGCAGTATTTATACAAATACTAACAAAAAATCTTCTCAAATTGACAGTACAGCGATATCAAAACGGAAAGCAGCGGAGATGGCGGCGACTCAAGCTATACACTGGCTGTTCATAAACAAGAGAATAGATGCTAAAGGATGTCCAATATACGACACGAATGTACTAGAAGATATCAAGAAAGATTTCAATGAACCTTTAGAAGCGGCCATTACTGATAACTCGGTGAAACAAATTGAGAAGATTTGGAAGGAATATGAGAGTGGTATAAGTAGGTTTGTCTTTTATTTATTACTAGCTTTCGCTTCGCTCGCGTCACAAAAGAATAAAAAGTAACCTATGTGACATTTACCAATACATACAGCGCCATCTATACCAATACTTTTGTTTTCCCTCGGGAATATCAATTTTTTCCAGGATAAAAAGTACCCTATTATTTAATCCGGACTTCTAACTTTACGTCTGCAAAAATTCAAAGCAATCGGTTTAGTAGTTACGGCGTGAAATCGGAACAAACAAACAAACTCACTTTCCGATTTATAATATTAGTAAGGATAATCCTTGTTGTGGTTTAATGAATATATAAATATACAATATTGATATTTTGCAGAGGACATCTATGAAGCTACGTTCAAGCAAGCGAGACAGAAGATGATACAAATGCCGGCTGTAGTAACCAAAGATTCTACTATAGATGAAGGTAGGTTCATACTTATAACGTGATAAATTAATAATATTATCACTAACTGTCTTGTTGGCTGTGTGGTCGCAAGTGTGACTGCCGGGCAAGGGGTCTCGGGTTCGATTCCCGGGTCGATCAAAGTGTCAAAAGATCAAACGATACTGGTGGGTTTTTAAAACATTCTCAGTAGTAGTACGGAGTCTGGAATTGTGCCCGGTATATGATAATAGGCTCACCTCCTATTACATGGGATTCATAAATAGTGAAAAGTGGGTGTTAACATTGTACAGTGGCGTAATGTGCACCTCTGCCTACCCCTTCGGGGATAAAAGGCGTGATGTTATATTTTGTTATTATCACTAATGTTGATATTAATTCCTATTTTTGTTTAATGTAGAGTTTTCTCAGTTTATCCCTTGTTGCTTATTGTTCGTATTAATATTTTGATGTAATCCTTTGTTTCAGATGATTTTTCTGAAGAAGAAACTGATGTAGTTGGATTAGAGGATGATTCAGGCAAGTATAATAACTACAATAGATGTTGCGATAGCGGGCAAACGTCGGCCCATCAAATATTAAAAAAAAAGATAAACACATTTGTCGCATTGAATGTAAACCTGTAGAGATGAATGTCAGTTGAATAAAGTCAAAGTCAAAGCATTTATTTCAATTAAACCATAGTTTGGTACTTTTGAAACGTCAACAAATACAAAATAAATAATAGTCTGTCAGTCAGTCCGTCAGTGGAACTAGGTGAAGCTAGGTGCTCATTCCAAAAAGTAGATTCGAATGGAGAAGAACGAGCAAGAAACTCCATAAATAAATAACAAAAAAATTAAAAGTAGGTATCAACTCTACTAGTTTCGAAACTAGTAGAGCTTTTCTCAGTATATTCACGTGAGTAACCCGCGATTTTTAGTTAATTTAGTATGTCTCACGATTGTTATTATAGAAACATGTCTACTAGTACGTTTTAGTTTACCTTAAATACTTTTTTTATGGAATAGGAGGCAAACGAGCAGACGGATCACCTGATGGTAAGCAATCAGCGGCACCCATGGACACCCGCCGCAACACCAAAGTTCCCTAAGACCGGAAAAGGAAGAAGATTGGAAAACGAAAAAAATTTTCTCCTGTGTCGTGGGTGCGTTTACACACATACAAGTTCACTCCCACATGACACCCAGACCCGGAACAACAATCTGTGGATCACACAAAGAGTTGCTCGGTGCGGGAATCGAAACCGCGATACGTTGCGTGACAGCCGGTTGCCCAGCCGCTGCACTAACTGTGTTGTCTAATGTGCACCTCTGCTTACGCCTTCGGGGATAAAAGGCGTGATGTTATGTTATGTTCTTATATTTATACAGAATTAAAGCACCACGTCCACCCAGTATACGGTAAGATCGTGCCGCCAGCTTCAGGGACCGCTCTGGAGAGAAGGGACCGCGCTCTCACTCGCAAATTCAAAGCGTATGATGAAGATCTTACACCGTTGCCAATTGATGAATATCGGTAAGTCTATTTTGTTATGTTCTTTATTCATTATAATAAATAGCCGTAGCCCGGAATACGTCCATTAAAAATACTAAACAGACGGACTTGCCTTTCAACTGCAATCCAATCACTAATTGCAGTTCGGATGCTGTTTGAATGCAGCCGTATCACGATTATGTTCTTTCTTTAATTATCACGTTTTATGCAGACGACTTTTTTTTTTAGGGGGAAAATCGTCGAATGACTTCTCCCATCTGGGTGAGGCGGGAGGGAGTGTCAGACTCTTACTGACTAAAAACCATCCTGTTCCTACTCCTGCACTTCGAGCCGGAGCCCCGGTAACCAACCCGTTAAGTTCTCCGCGGCTCCGTCTCGGCATCAGCCCTATTGGGTCCCATCCGTGGTGGCCAGATGGCTCTTTGTGACGCGCGCGGAACGCGACACGCCGTACGCTCGGGTCTGGTTTTGGTCGGACGGCGAGCTACCTATGCTCTATGTCCGCGGTTAGGGTGGCCGGAGGTCGTCCCGCAATCCCCGACGCCCGGTGTGTCCTTCGCGATAGCTGGAGCGCGAGGAGGCTGCCTCACGCGCTCCGCCTCCTCCTTAACTAGCATGACTGCTTCGCAAAAGGAGGAGACGGAATCCCAGTCCCCCTCGCTCCGCATCACAGCTCGCACTAGGGCCGGACGTGAGAGGTCGCCATCGCCGATCACGTCCCTGAGGGCACGGCGGTGCTCAGCCCACGCAGGGTATTCCTACTGTATGTTCCACCGTGACCTCAGGCCGGTCCTCGCCGTGATGACACCCGGGCGTTTCCTCCCGCCCCATCAGACACAGGTTCCTCCCGAAACTTCCATGTCCGGTGAGGACCTGCGTCAGACGGTAGGTGAGGACGCCGTAGCGTCTCTCAAGCCACTCCTCAAAAAGGGGACTTACCCAGTCCTCGGTTGCGCTAGTAATTTAGTCGAATAGCGAGTATTTAATAGTTCTATCTCGAGCCTGCCCCTGAAATCAAAGCGAGATAGAACTACTAATTACTCGCTACTCGACTGAATTACTAGCGCGGGAACAAGGCATTAAGTGAAGCGTATACAATCAAATGTAGGTCAACAATTTTGTTGCTTTGAATCTCGTCGCGACATCTCCGTGAGAACTAGAATAACTTATGCATGACTAGATAGAATCATTTAAAATACCCTGAATAACTGACAATGAGATCTGATAATCTTTTAGACTTTCACACAGCCTTTTCGCCGTCAAATTGGTATTTTAACACTGGATTTAGTAAGGATACATATACATTCATCATATGACATGGTTCTCACATCATATGAGACAAACATAGCAGACGGCTGTTTATAAATATACTAATTTAAAACTTAAATGATACATTATTTTAAAATACTAAGTATTCTGATGAACACAAAAAAATAATAAAAACAACCATTAAATTGTCATAACAGGAATGATAACAGGGTATGAAAATTAAAAATCTAATTAGTCCGTCAGTTAGGTAATGAAATGTTATTAGACACGTATTTTTTTATTTTGATGTATAATAAAATGATACTTAAATATAACGTATCAAAGTTTAGGAGTGGGGGCTAAAACGTCATTTCTACGTACCTATAAAATGTACATAGGAGTGACGTCACGCGACATTTCAAATCGTCGAAAGTATTCGTTTCTGTAAAAAAATAAAAAATACGTGTATTACACACGTATTTTTTTTTATTTTAAAATATTCTACCAGACGGATATTAAAATAAAAATTAGTCAATTTTTTTAAATACCTTTTTCCTTTAAATCTTTAATAAAAATCCTTTAAAAGGATTTCAAAAAATCATATTTCATTCGTTAGTAATTAAAAAAAAATCCAGAAATATATTTCTTACGTAATGTCATATTAAATCACATCGACGACACTTTTATGTTTTAACATAGGTGCATACAGATACAGGTCTTATAACTGTACTAACCTACTTATCAAATCAAACCTAAAGCAAAAATAATCTAACAACGATCTGACGTCACAATACACGCTCTCAATACTACGTCACATTACATTACGTAGACCTATTGCTACGTAACAAACACACACACACACACACACTTACAAAATACCTCTGTCCTCGAACTCTAAAAACCCAATCTTGTCCCGATTACAAAAACCTTGTGCCCATTACCTACTTCCTATTCGAAGTAACCTCGTTGTCCCATAACCGACAATAAACGACCTTGGGACCTCAATACGCGGCCGCGACCTCCTCCCGTGCCCTCGAAACCCCGAGATTGACCTTGGATTCTGTTCTGTGACCTTCCGAACGAATGTTGGTACAGATTAGTTTATTTCGAGTTCATAATGTAGGTCGTTGGTTAGGGAAGTTCGGAATATAATTTGTGTTAACATTTTGTACTGAATTCTATGTTAATTAGTGTTTGAAGTTAGTTAAATGGGGTTATGATTGTTGTTATGCAAGCAAATAGGCTAAATTACTGACTTACGCAATGCGGTAGCCTACATTTTTTTTAAGGTGGGATAATCATTGAATGACTGCTCCCGCCTGGGTGAGGCGGGAGGGAGTGTCAGACTCTTACTGACTAAAAACCACCCCTTTCCTTCTTTTGCACTTCGAGCCGAAGCCCGGGTAACCCGATAGGTTCTCCGCGACTCCGAACATTACGGTTGTATTATTCTTCTTTATTGTGGTAATGCGAAATATCGGTCAGTTTCGATGGTCTTAGGTTCTAAGTTAGCATCGCCCTAATACCTATTTTATGAGACTTTATTCTAACACTTCGTCTTCGTGTTTTTGACTTACTTCTTTAGCTTCTGTTATTCATATGACAAAGATTATTTTATATCAATTAGTTACTTTTTTCTTTCTAAAAATCCAATAAACATTTAACTCTTTGAGTGCCGTCATTATAGACACAATTAAAGAACAATAGGTTGCGGTCACCGGTTTCCTCGCGGTGTTTGACAGTTTAATCCCCAAGCGGTCACCGGGGGTGACCGTTCTCCACTAATTACATCTTAGACCTTATTTCCGATGTTTAGATACTATTTTTGTATGAACAAATTTAGGGTACGATATTTCAACGGGTGGGTATTTTTCGCTGAATAAGTCTATCTATTTTTAAGTACTCACAATAATACTACGAGCTAATTGACGTCACAAATACAGGAAAAATGAGCCTCTATTTTTTTGGGTTATCCATTTTTACGCTTGCGGGAAAACGAATACAAATTCTGGGATATAAGGAAGTAAAAATTTGGTCGCTAAAAATACCGATTTGTTTATGACTAAGTAACAAAAATCAACTGAATTACCCAAATGGAAAATAATATATCCTAAGTCAGAATTTCCTCAATTCGTTGGTTTTTTTTATCATATTTACCTACAATTCTCAACTTTATTTAGTCCCCATTTCCCTAACCAGGTTTTCCATGTTTAGAAGGTGGGTTGGACTTGAAGATCATAATTAAACAGATTTAGTTTAACCAAGGAGCGATGTAGGTACTGTTGTCTTATCTCTGTCAAATCGGATCATATTACTTCTACAACAAGAGTTAGGGCCGAAAATGTTAAATATTTAAGAAATAATCCTTAGATATATCTAAAAACTTTCCCTAAGAACTGCTCATCTTCTAAACCAAATCCAAGGCTATTGAAAGTCTAAGTGAACGGTGTTATAACCTCAATCCACCATCTTGTAGATACCGCGACCTCCTTTCATCAGTTAGTTGGACGACCAAAGAGTTTCTATGCCACTTTCAAACTTAGAATGCATGTTTTCGAAAGTGTGGCGCTGCAGTCGATTTTGGAGCAGTAATGCATTATGAATGTGCTATATTTTTTAATACATTTTAATCAAAATTCCTTATAATGGGAAGTATGTGATGCTTTATATGTTTAACTGTTAGGTAATCCTACAGATTTATTAAAATTGACTGCACTTTTATATGAATCAGGTATCATAAAAGTGTATATGTATATATTAATAAAATCTAGGAATACAATAAGTTAAAAAAACAAATGGTTAATTGAATTGTAACAAAAACTATGAGCTATGGAAACCCACGCTATTGTCACTTATAAATAGGTAATGTATAAAAATACTCAGTAACAGAGTATTACATATATTATGTGCTTCTACCCTTCCGTCTGTGAAACGTGATGTCTATCTTACGTCACTATGTCACTCACACCTACATAATTTATTGTGTACATAGAACACGCACACTTTGACATCTACGTCACACAACTCAGCGACTCAACAATGGCTTGACGTCATTTGCGTCACGAACGCAATCGAAAGTAAAATGAAATCGACAGTTTCACTCTCGATTTCTACAGTCAGCTGTCAACTGTCAGCTGTCAGTACGTCACAATGACGTGTAGGGTACGTCACTTTGAGATAGAATTGTCTTTCACATTGCGATCACTCTCGGTTTCGTTGCTGCCAAACTTTCGCGGTACGTCACTGTGACGTGTTTGTAATAGTATCGATTGTATTGCCCCTTTGTTTAACGAAATGGTAGATAGAGATGTACAGTTAGGTATTTTTACAAGGTCATTTCATATTTATAGTAAAGTTTGCTATTAGCAAATTTAAACCACCGACTGTATACTACTTACCAAGCATTTTGTACTCAAGAAACTCAATTCATGTAATTAATATTATTATGTACAGTTGGTACACACGTGGACTTAACCTATCACTTCGTTCTTTTTCCACTATTGAGACAATTTCACTGTGATGTCAATACGTCATTTTGACGTAGCTTCGAAATAGAATGGCCTTTCACGATCACTCTCGATTTCATTGCTTCCAAACTTTCGCTGTACGTCATTGTGACGTATAGTTTTTAGCGAGAGTGAAATTGCCACGCCTCTATCACGCCTTTCATCTGTCGCTAGGATAGACAAAGTTATAGATTTTACAATGAACTTTTTAAGCAAATCAAATTGATTAATCCATTAATACATCAGCGCATCGAAGATCAAGCTGAAGTCTTACAAAATGATAGATGAAGTTTATTATGCAATTATTAAAATATGACACTTATCCACATAAACATAAATATTACAGTAGGAGTTTGACATTTCTTGTCTTCTTAAAGACGACTTGATTGGACCATTCGACCATTCAAGCAGTTTCACTTTCTTTAGCTATCATCTTTACTTTCGTCACAAGTGACGTATCGCATACGTTTCGTAGAATTTCTCGATCACTCTCGTTTTCGTTGCTTCCAAACTTTCACGGTACAATCATACGTCATAGTGACGTATAAGTAAGAGTGCTCGAGATATTCGGTGGTCGTGGGTAAAAGTAGGACGTTTGAAGATGACTTCTAAATTTCTAATCTCTGTACGGGCTACAAATGGTTACACTTACAAGTGTTCAGCGGTTCCAGCGTTCCCGAAGTTAGTTTAACAAAAATTTCTACAATATTAGATATTTCTTACGCCAACCTGGGGGCACGGCAGTGCCTCCACCAAGTCAAGTGCGAAGCAAACACTGCCGTACCATCCTTTACTGGAACCATTTCGCTGCATTTTCAGGCCCCTATTTGAGAAACTCTGGATAAGACCAGAACACGGGAATTTTCATCATCCAGTAAGCTATAATCACATTCGCGGAAGACTTAACGGGTTACCGGGGCTCCGGCTCGAAGTGCAGGAGAAGAAACGGGGTGGTTTTTAGTCAGTAAAAGTCTGACACTCCCTCTCGCCTCACCCGGGCGTGAGAAGTCATTCGATGATCAAAAAAAAAAAATATAATCATATACCTAAAATCCAAAATTTAAAGTCTGTAGGTGTAGTTCCAAAGTTGAATGAAAGAGCGGCTCTATCAAGACTTGGCTAGGTTTTTACACAATGGTTTGGTTGGATACATTAGGTTTACACTAAAGTCAAAACATTTATTGCACATGCGTGTTTTAAGTGAATTGTTTTCATGTTTCGAGTTTATTATATGATTCAGAGGCAAGCGTAAAATGACGCATATGCGAGTAAAACGCGCGATGCTAGTCCACAGTATGACACAGACGTGCGTAAACGCGCGTTCTGGGTATGTCGTACGATATAAACGATGAGTATGCTAAAGACGCTGGTTTTTAATGTTTTTTGTGACATAGACTCACGTCAGTCGCGCGTTCTGAGTTTGAGTATAATTGGTTTTTTATATTGGAAATGAGTCATTTGGTCGCCGACTCGAATGGTGGTAATCAAAAAATCCACGTAATTTATCAAAAGTGGTCTCTAAATATCGGAAATAAGGACTAACTATAATGAAGCGAGGACACTGGTGTCGGTCTAATTTCATAAAGTTATCTTTTTTACTAACAATAAAACCTTTTGACATTTATGTTCCAGGGACCAAATAATATCGACATTGGAACAGAACAGAGTGACGGTGATAGTTGGTGCTGCCGGTTGTGGCAAGTCGACGCGCGCGCCAGCGGCCATATTGCGGCATTATGGGGCAACTACTAGTGCTATAGTGTCGGAACCACGACGTGTAGCGGCCATGGGATTGGCGGAGAGGGTTGCTAGTGAATTAGGAGAAGAAGTATGTAGTAAGACATGTGATACTTGAGATCGATACTTGATACTTGAGATTCATTCTGAATAATTACAAGGCATATTAGTTGTATTTTTTTAATGAAATTATATTTATTTCTGTATGAAAATAGGTTACACAGTATCACGTTTACTGAGGCATTGCTTACCCGTTATTTTTTTTATGGCGTAAGCCGGTAAACGTGCATACGGATCACCTGATGGTAAGCAATCGGCGTCGCCCATGGACACCTGGAATACCAAAGGCATTACAAGTGCGTTACCGGCCTTTTGGGGATTAGGAGTTTAAAGATCGTTGGTTATTCAGGATTTGGGGAGATTGGGGAAGGGGAGGGTAATTAGGCCTCCGGTAACCTCACTCACACGACGAAACACAACGTAAGCGTTGCTTCACGTCGGTTTTCTGTGAGGCAGTGGTATCTCTCCAGTCGAGCCAGCCCATTCATGCCGAAGCATGGCTCTCCCACACTTAAAGTATGTTAAGTAACTTAAAGTTATGATCATACTTTGGACACAAGTTGAAATTAGGCTGGTATTCTGTAAGGTGTACTGATGATTCGGTAGTCTCAGGGAGCCATTGATTTTTTTTTTTATATATATTGTTATTTGCGAGTTCCGTGTAGAGGTCTAACGGAGAGGCCTTCGTTCAGCGGTTAATGTATTATGGCAGTTTCTGATGATTTTTCAATAGTTTGCTTTGCCTTACAGGTAGGAGAATCAATAGGCTATCAAGTTAGATTACATTCTAAACCACCGAAGCCACCTGGAGGGTCAATCCTTTACTGCACTTCAGGAGTCTTACTACGAAGGTTGCAATCCAATCCAGGTACAGATATGTAACAAAACATGACACCTGAAAGTTCTAAAACTGAAAGGAAAATAAAAAATATATTAAAACAACAAAATTGTTAACATAAAATTACATAACACCTTTTTATCCCCGAAGGGGTTGGCAAAGGTGCACATTACGGCACTTAATGCCACTGTACAATGTAACACCAACCTGTATGCCTGGCTTACACTGAGTGGGTGACCCTTTTAGCATAGGCATGTTGTCAGCGTCTCTCATCTAATTCTTCTGTTTTAATTTTTTAACTCAATGTTTTTATTACCCGACTGCCAAAGAAGGAGGGTAATGTTTTTCGAGTGTATGTAAGTATGTATGTATGTCTTTTCCTTTGTGACCACCTGTAGCCTAAACGGCTTGATGGATTTTGATGTATGAGGTATCGTTAGATTTGTCTTGATTACGGGAGTGTCATAGGATACATTTTATCCTAAAAGTCCCACGGGATAAAGACATAATAATATTTTTTCTAAATTTCCCTTTAAAAAAATATGTATGCGGTATCATTAGATTCATTTCAATCACGGGAGTAATTAATATAGGATACGTTTTTTCTCAAAATTCCCACGGGAACATGTTAATTCTGCGTCAACGCAAAGCAACTCATGCGTTAGCAAGCAAAAAGATAGGGCGTGGCCTGGCATGCGGCGCGCGGCGCGGTGCGGAGGGGGATATGCTCGAGTATACAGCCCGATTGCGGGCACACGCATGAGGGCACACGTCGTTGACGATAGTCTTCTACATCTACAACATTTTCGTTAAATAAAAACAGCTAAAAAGTTATAAATAAAAAAATTATTATTAAAAAAACAAAATACCCGACTGCACACTAAAAAAAGAGTAAAACAAGCCCCACAATAATATTGATCAATCAAATGCTAAAAACTAATTATGTAATACCGTTTAAACAATACCTATATTAAAATACACTACAATATGTGTTCGTAATCGATAGTTAAATAAACAGAAACTTATTTTGAATACAAATTTACTGAATATAATTTATAAATGTTGATGGAAAGCATCGCAGGCGGGGACCACCTTGACCGCCACCAACGAAAATTCTGCTAAATGGTGCACAACCGAAATGACTATAAATAAGCCTCTGTTGGTCCCCGCCTGCGATGCTTTCCATCAACATTTATAAATTATATTCAGTAAATTTGTATTCAAAATAAGTTTCTGTTTATTTAACTATCGATTACGAACACATATTGTAGTGTATTTTAATATAGGTATTGTTTAAACGGTATTACATAATTAGTTTTTAGCATTTGATTGATCAATATTATTGTGGGGCTTGTTTTACTCTTTTTTTAGTGTGCAGTCGGGTATTTTGTTTTTTTAATAATAATTTTTTTACTTCCACTGTCACACCTTTATTGTGTTTTTTATATTTTATTTATGCTGCATCGTGCCTGGTGCTGAATAAATGTTTTTTCTTTCTTTCTAACTTTCCACTATTTATGTTATGAGTCCCATGTAATAGGGGGTGCGCCTATTGCCTATACAGAATTTTTAATTATAGACTTACACTTAATCGTCCTCAGTCGAAATTAAACCTTACCTATAAATCAACAGAGTTCAATCTCCCATTTCAGGTTTGGAAGGATGTACCCACGTCATAATAGACGAAGCTCACGAACGTGACGTGAACACTGACCTCACATTACTGTTACTGAAGCGAGCGCTAGACATCAATCCTGCGCTGAAAATTGTCATTATGAGCGCTACTCTGGATACTGGGGTTTTTACTAAGTAAGTCTTCCATTGTATATTTAGAAACTAATGCCGGAATACTGAAACGTTACTCAATTTAAGTCGTGCTCAAATATCGTGCCATCTCTGTCATTTTACAAAGAATTTGTAGAGATAGAACTATACTTAAGCACGACTTAAAATTGAGTAGCGTTTCAGTATTCCGACATAAATCCAGTACCGTCCTTATGGTCACCAGACTAAAGGGATACTCAGGGCCCGAGCCGAAGACCCCATCTTCAGGAGATCCCCGAAGGTTTTTCTATGAAGGACACTGTAACAAATTATGGTCAAATGTTTCCACAACGAATTCAAAAACCGATAAAATTGGCGGAACGCGGAGCATCTTCGAACACACTCACTCACTCAACATTTCGGCGGCGACTGTTGGCGCGAGCGCGGGGCCCGCTCGAGCGAGGCGTGGGTGGGACTTCGAATTTTGAATTTTACCGCGAACGCGAATTCACTACGTTACCACCATTTTTATTATCGCGCTACAAAGAAGGTTTTTAACATAAGAGTTACAGACATACCCATACATACACATACCCATATCCGGTTCGATCCCGAAGCAAATCTTTGTGTGCTCCACAAATCCATAGGTCCACTCCTCCGTATACTCCTTACCCTCCCTTACCCTTCCTTACCCCTCCTTACCCCTCCTTACCTCTCTTACTCAATACCCTCTAACCTACCTCTCCCCCGCAAAAGAAGGGGTAAGAGCGCATCTTAATCCTTCCCCCACTGTGTTGTTAATTAAAAAAAACTTTATTCCATTATTATTTACATCTTTTACAGATATTTCAACGAATGTCCGATAATAGAAGTCCCGGGCCGTACGTTTCCGGTGGAAGTCTCATATCTAGAAGATATACAGCAGAGGTTTGGATTAAGTCTACCATATACTGCTGAGATGTGTAATAAAGTTGATGGGAGACCTCAGGTCAAATGTCAGGAGGTAATTATACTGATTTTTGTTGACATTTCTTAGGAGATATTTAACAAAAAAACTGTCTTAATGGATTCAATTATTAGATAAGAATTTACAGAATTCCTGATTTCTTTATTTAACAAACTTTTTTTATAGTATAAGCCGGTAAACGAGCTGACGGGTCACCTGATGGTAAGCAATCGGCGTCGCCAATGGACACCTGGAACACCAGCGGCGTTACCAGTGCATTACCGGCCTTTTGGGTTACGAATTTGAGGATTTTGGGATTCAGAAGTTGGGAAAATAAGGGGGGGGGGGTAATTGGGCTACCGCGCGTGTTAGCGCATTGATCTCACAACGCAAAGGTTTTTCACTGGGACGCCCCAGACTTCAGTATCCCGGTGTTTCCAGGGTTGTATCTATTGTAGATCCTGGCTTACAGGAGTTGCAGCGGTTTTGGGAGGTTGTGGCGGGCTTGCTTATCCTAATTAAAAAAAAAGTGTTGTTTCACTATAGTTTTCTGCTCGGCCGTGGTATCACTACGGTCGAGCCCAGCAGTGCCGAAGCATGGCTCTCACATACTTTCAACAATTCAATTTAACAAACTCTTCAACAATGTAACCTAAAATTGCACTGTGAAACTGATTGAAAATGAATACCTAACCTAACGGGTTACCGGGGCTCCGGCTTGTCGTGCAGGAGAAGGAACGGGGTGGCTTTTAGTCAGTAAGAGTCTGCCACTCCCTCCCGCCTCACCCAGGCGGGAGCAGTCATTCGATGATTTTCCCCCCTTAAAAACAACCATGGAGTTTCTTCCTCATTCTGTTCCACAGAAAGCTACACTTTGAAGAACCAGCAAATAACTTCGCTGTGTGGACTGACCGACAGATTTGTTTTCAAATAATTGATCTGACTTTCAAAAGTAACAAAGTCAGCATTTATTTAAATAAATCCTTAATTAGGCACTTTTTAAAACGTCAAATTGAATTCTGAAATCTTATTTTGACTCTGTACACTATTTACATTTCTTACGTTCCAGATAGCAGAATTAATAAAAGCAGTAGACAAGAAGGAGAAGGAAGGTGCTATACTAGTATTTCTCCCGGGTTGGTCTGAGATAAAGATGACAAAACAATTGCTTGAGGAACACTATGGACAATCTTCAATGCATATGATATTACCTGTGCATTCTAGGTAAGTTCAAATTGTTCAATATTATAGGTTTAGATCTGAACAAAAATGTCTGGTTAGATGTGTGGGACAGGAATTGGGGAGATTGGGGAAAGGGAGGGTAATTGGGCCTCCGGTAACCTCACTCACACGACGAAACACAACGCAAGCGTTGCTTCACGTCGGTTTTCTGTGAGACCGTGGTATCACTCCGGTCGAGCCGGCCCATTCGTGCCGAAGCATGGCTCTCCCACACTTAAAATTACCATATCCATATCTATTGTACTTTCATTTTTCGGGTGATCCATAGTAACTTCATTAATTCTGCTTTGCATTCGAAAGAGCTTTAATTTAATCTCTGGAACAAAAACATAAAAAAACAGTTAAAAGTCGTATCAAAATCGAACAAAATTTATTTTATCTCACTCAAACCAATAAAAAAGATGTGTTTGCTGATATTAACTCGTCGAGTACCGGTTTTATAGACACAATTAAAGAACAATAGGTCGCAGTCACCGGTGACCGCTTGGTGTTTGACAGTTTAAATCCTTGTTTCGCTATTTTCCAGGCTATCAACAACAGACCAAGCGAAAATGTTCGCGACGCCGTCTCCTGGTATCCGTAAAATAGTTCTAGCTACTAATGTAGCGGAAACTTCAATAACTATACCTGATGTCGTCTACGTGATCGATAGTGGAGCTCATAAGGAAAATAGAATAAAAGATGGCACTGGTAAGTGTGTGATAGTTATTTGCTACTGATGTGATAGTTGTCTACCGATGTGATAGTGAGAGTTACGGCGAGTAAAATGTTGATCTATATGTAATAATAATCACTACATAGTATAAAACAAAGTCGCTATCCGCCGTCGTCTGTCCCTATGTATGCTTACATCTTTAAAACTACGCAACGGATTTTGCTGCGGTTTTTTTAATAGATAGAGTGGTTCTTAAGGAAGATTTATATGTATAATACATGCATATTGCACCCGTGCGAAGCCGCGGCGGGTCGTTAGTTATTTATATGCAACAACCTATCCTTTTTTACTATCGCGGTGATATTTGTTTGCTACTGATGTGATAGTTTTCTACTGAAGTGATAGTAAATGTTATGACGAGTAAAATGTTCGTCTACGTATAATAGAGGTAATATATTTATATGCAACAACACATCCTTGTTGACTATGATGGTGATATTTGTTTGCTACTGATGTGATAGTTGTCTACCGAAGTGATAGTGAGAATTTCGACGAGTAGGATGTTTATCTACGTATTTATATGCAACAATACATTCTTGAGGACTATGATGGTGATATTTGTTTGCTAATGATGTGATGGTTGTCTGCCTATGTAACAATGGTTTGCTGCTCATATGGTGGGTAGTTATTTGATACGAATTTGTTAGTTATCTGCTATTGATTTAATAAGTTGTCAGCCGATGCCACCAGGCCAGAATGGTTACCAAAAATCCCCATCAAGTATAAAAAATAATTTTATAATGGTTTTCTTCTGGTTTGTCTACCGATATAATAGTCGTCTACTGAAGTGATAATTGTCTACGAATGTGATAGTTTTTTTTGCTTACTATGTGATAGTTGACTATTGACTATTGATAAAGTTTATCTTTTACTTATCATTAATACAGGTTATGTGTATATTACAGGTACGGCAAGCTTAGAAACAGTTTGGGTGTCTTTAGCTGGCGCTAAGCAAAGGACAGGTCGAGCTGGGAGAGTACAACCAGGTATGATTACATACAAAAAGTATATTTTTGAGATAACAACATTATTGTGTTTCTGATACGATAGCCGTTTGTTCAATAGGGATGATGACGGAGTGTGAAAATTAAAAATTTATTTAGTACCTTTTTTTATTTTGTCGTATAAGAAAATACTATTATTATTAATATTTATTTATTTATGTACACACATACCACATAAAGGACAACACATAATATAAAATTAAAGTACAAAGGTACTACCTATTCTTATTGCTACTTAGATAAAACGAAATAAAGTTAAGGAGTGCGAGCTAGCTACGTCATTTCTACGTATAAAACGTACTTAAAAGTAATTTGTAAAAGTAAATAAATTGTTTCAGGTCACTGTTACAGGATGTATTCCAAAGAAAAGGAAGCTGAATTCGTACTGCATACTACACCTGAAATATTAAGGTAAACATTGGATTTTTCTTCTTGACGTTCTCAGTACGAATTGAATCTCGTTTTTGATCATAGACCCCCGTTCGTTGCTTAAGAAAACATTACTTAATTATACCTAATAAAAGTGAAGGAGTTGGACTGGACATAAGCTCAGGTGTAATATAACAGTAAATGTGTGTATGCGGTGTAATATGACAATTTGGTACCGAAGGGACGGCACTAGGAGCCGAGGTGGAATTGAGAGAAAAAGGGAGGATCTGAGAATGACTTTAGGACCTCTCTGGATATGAGTATCTCTGATAGGAAATGGAAAGAGTTGGAGGAGCCTTTTTTGAAACAGCGTGGATTAATCGAAATTGCTTTTAAATTTGTAACTGTCTAAATGTAAAAAAGTTCGGATTATTTTATGTGATAAGTCGGTAAACGAGCAGACGGATCACCTGATGGTAAGCAATCGGCGCCACCTGAAACACCAGAGGTGTTACAAGTGCGTTACCGGCCTTTTGGGGAGTAGGAGTTTGAGGGTTGTTGGGATTCATAGAATGGAGAGATTAGGGAACGGGGGTGGGCTAATTAGGCCTCCGGTAACCTCACTCACACGACGAAACACAACGCAAGCGTTGCTTCACGTCGGTTTTCTGTGAGGCCGTGGTATCACTCCGGTCGAGCCGTGTCATTCGTCCGTACCGAAGCATGGCTCTCCCACACTTGAAAATATGTAAAGGCTTTTACTTACCTAAACTAAATGAAATAGTAAATGTTACTCAGCCCTAAACTTTTTGCTTGATAATGGTTTTTTATATTTTTCGTCATTGCTTTCAGAATACCTCTCGTACAAACAGTATTGGACTGTAAAGCCTACGCTCCAAATGAGAAGATCGCCAGTTTCCTATCAGAGCTACCGGAGCCACCATCCAAGAAATCTATACAGTTCGCAGTCAACGATCTAGTGGAGTTGGGTGAGTGTAGAATTGTATGTCGTATTTGTATAGATAATATCTGGTTGTATAAGAAAGAGAAGATGAAAAACTGCGTTTAAAAACCGCCTTCATAAATTCCAAAACTAAAAACAAACAAAAAGTAAAAACTAAAAAGCTAAAAATAATTATTATTAGTACTGATAGGTTACCCACTCACTGATAGGTTGGAAGTCGGTGCCATAAGTTCATAATATATCATAATGATATAACTTGATGGCCACAAAATTGTACATTAGGTATCTATTAAGGTTATTTATTATTTAAAATGAATAATTTTGTATAAAACTTATGGCGCCGACTTCCAACCTATCAGTGGGTGGGTAACATATCAGTACTAATCATAGTTATTTTTTGCTTTTTAGTTTTGTCTTTTTGTTTGTTATTAGTTTTTGGTTTTTTAAAGTCGAGTTTTTTGATTTTTAGGTTAGTGCGAATGCTGACCGATTGATTTCCGTGTCAAATAAAGAATTATCTAGTTATATGACTTTTTCGGAAATTCAGTTTCCGGAAAAAATGTGCCCGATGTATGAAAAGTGGGTGTTACATTGTACATGTGCAGCTCAGCATATTCCTTCAGGGATTAAAAGGCCTTGTTCAAGGCTGAAAAATCATCAAATAGCTCTTTCCACTTTGGGCGAGAGAGTGTCAGACTCTTACTGTCTAAAAACCACCCCATTCGTTAGAATCAGAAGTTATTCTGATCAGAGTCAAAGCCTTGGGCGAGTCTATCGGTAGCCTCGGCCGCGAAATATGTACCATTGTTAATTATAATTTTTTTCACGTAATTATTCGACGAGGAAATCGACTAGTTTCAAACCATGCTAGAAGCTCATATTCATGAGCAGCATTCCGTAACACGACGCAGTGACTGGCGCAGCTGCAGGCTGCTAGAGTCTGCGGCGGCGCGTTCCCAGCGCGCCCTCTGCCGGGATTCACGCGCACGTACCTCTATCTGTATCTAATCGAGTTCCTCGTCAAATAATTACGTGACTGAGCCGAAAAAACATAATAATTATTTTAGTATGTCTCACAAAACTTATTATAAATACACATATATATATACACTACGGTGTTTAAAATTAATTAATATCTATAATAATCTTGTTACAGGAGCCCTAACTCCCTCAGAACAGTTAACCCGTCTCGGCTCAATACTATCCTCGGTATCCCTTCACCCCCGACTCGCCCACAGCCTGCTTCAATCTACAATACTGGGCAACGTAGTAGCAGCTACATACATGGCGGCGCATTGTTCCACGCATAGTGAGATCTTCGCTAACGCAGCTGATAGGAGAGACGGTGAGTTAATAAATTCATACGGGTCACAAATATATTTTTATGTATAAAATATTTATATTATATACTAGCTTTTACCCGCGGCTTCGCTCGCGTCACAAAAGGATAAAAAGTAGCCTATGTGACATATACCAATACATACGGCGCCATCTATACCAATACTTTTGTTTTCCCTCGATAGATTAAGGAAACAAGGTTTTAAGTACCCTATTCGGACCAAGCGAAAGAATCATGTCAAATTGCAAACTTCGATTGCCCGATGTCGAAGATTGTGTATAGCGCCATCTACCAGTATAGCCTCGTACCACGTAGTCACTAACAATAATAAAATAACGAAGTCGAAACCTAACCTAACGACTAGCCCACAGCCTGCTTTGTAGACCTTCCTTGACATTCTATAACCGTATTAAATCTGTAACACATAGATAATATAATATGGTAAATCACGATCCGGTTATCTACACTAATGTATAGTAAAGTTAATCAATACTTTCTTTTACAGAAATCCGTGAGATAAAACGTAGTTACAGCCCGACGTCCGACTACGGCGCCCTCTACTGGATACAAGAAGAATTTGACAGAATATCCCAAGAGAGTGGTAGAGAAGCTTCGGACAAGTACTGTGAGAAATATGGACTTAGAGGAGATAGACTTGCTTATATTAGATGTAAGTACTCTTTATTAAATTACCGGCAACACACTGGCTTCCTCAAACAGCCATCAGACCACCACGGATGGGGCCCAATAGGGCGGATCGATTCGGAGCCATAGAGAACCTAACGGGTTGCCGGGGCTCTGGTTCGAAGTGTAGAAGTAGGAGGTGGGTGGGGGGTGGGTGTTTAGTCAGTAGGACTCTGACACTCCCTCTCGCCTAGCCCAAGGCGGGAGGATGCGTAATGGCGCATCCACACATGCCGCCGGGTTTCAGACCGCCTTGCCGCTGAATGCAGACCGCCGGCGGTTGCCGGCGGTCTGCCTAATTTTCTTCCATCAAAAAAAAATGAATTCATAAATAAAAAATTGGTTGCCTGTAAAGTCGGTATACGGGCGAAAGTTTTACGTGACAACGACTTTGAGTGGTAAAATAATTTTAATGTGAATATTAATTCGTATAGTAGGAAGAAGGATGAAATAATTCACTTTTTATGTCTGTCTCTCTCGCTCTTAGGCGGGCTAACCATGCCCGAGTGGAAGGGACGCGTGCCTCTCACTCGCTCTCATTGTGAGCGCATAACGTGAGCGGAGCGTAACGCAGTTTCTTGAAGTGTCACCCGGCAAACCAATTTATAAGACGTTATCACGTCAAAAGATAATTTTACTAACCCAATTCCTTTGTTTCAGCCCTCGCCTACCTACACCTAGAACAGATCCTGAACACCTCAATAATAGCTCCCACAATTGAGGCGGAGGAATTGAACAGGTTCTCTGACATTGAGGAGTTGCTATCTAGCACACTGATCTCTGGGGCTGATGCTCTGCTTACCACGAGGAAACAGGTCAAGACTAAAGGGAAACTGAAGACTGTTGTTGATATTGTCACTAGGTAAGTACCTACATAGAAATGTCTAGATCATAAACATAACATAACATCATGCCTTTTATCCCCGAAGGGGTAGGCAGAGGTGCACATTATGCTATTGTACAATGTAACACCCACTTTTCACTATTTATGTTGAGTCCCATGTAATAGGGGGTGAGTCTATTGCCATATACCGGGCACAATTCCAGACTCCGTGCTACTACTGAGAATTTTTTTTAAACAAAGTAATACTTTGCCCGACCCAGGAGTCGAACCAGAGACCCCTGCCCGGCAGTCGCACTTGCGACCACTCTGCCAACGAGGATGGAGTGGAGTTTTTTTTTTAATTCTCAGTAGTAGCATGGTGTCTAGAATCGAGCTCGATGTATGGCAATAGGCTCACCTCCTATTACATGGGACTCATAACATAAATAGGGAAAAGTGGATGTTAAATTGTACAGTGGCATTAAGTGTCGTTATGTGCACCTGCCTACGCCTTTGGGGATAAAAGGTGTGATATTATGCGACTACCCGAGCCGGGAATCGAACCCGAGACCTCTTGCCCGGCAGTCGCAATTGGCCAATGAGGCAGACTTCTTTATTATCTTTATCTAATACACCAAAAATCAATAAGTTCATAACAAAGTAATTTTCAGCTTATTTTTTTATGGCATAAGCCGGTAAACGAGCAGATGGATCACCTGATTGTAAGCAATCGGCGTCGCCCATGGAAATCTGGAACACCAGAGGCGTTACAAGTGCGTCACCGGCATTTTGGGGATTAGGAGTTTAAGGATCGTTGGGGATTCAGGGATTGGGGAGATTGAGGAAGGGGAGGGTAATTGGGCCTCCGGTAACCTCACTCACATGACGAAACACAACGCAAGCGTTGCTTCACGTTGGTTTTCTGCTCGGCCGTGGTATCACTCCGGTCGAGCCGGCCGATTCGTGCCGAAGCATGGCTCTCCTACACTTACAAACTACTTCTATTACATGATTCTTACTAAGAAATAGACTTATATTCTATTTTTTAATTCTATCCCCAGCACAGGCGACCGGGCCCACATAGGTACAGAGAGTGTCAACTACAACATCAACAAACAGACCCACACTCGACCGCACCTACTCGCGTACTTCGGCGGCACGCACTCCGTCGACAGGCGAGCACTCGTCGTGTACAGGACGTGTCTGGTACCACCACATGCACCTCTGTTGTTCTGTCTTGGACGTGTCGGGAAGGTAAGTGTGGTTTATCCACCACCACAGATGGGGCCCAATAGGGCGCGTCGAAGCGGTGTCATAAGGTCCATTAGTGTCGCGGAGAACCTAATGGGTTACCGGGGCTCCGGCTCGATGGGCAGGAGTAGGAACGGGGTGGTATTTAGTCAGGCCTCACCCGAGCGGTAGAAGTCATTTACTCCCAGAGGATTCCCCTCCCCCCTAAGTGTTGTTTATTCACCAACACAGATGGATGGATGCACTCGGCCAACGAGTCAGGGAAATTTTGAAATCAGTTGCGAGAAAAAACCACAAGTGAAAACTCTTATATTCATTTTTTTGTTCCACAAACTCACACAATTAGAACCGCTGCAGGTTAAACGAAATGTGGCGTAAGCTTTGTAAAGAGAAGAATCATAATCCTTTAGTCATAGCGAGCTGATGATGATGTTCATATAAAGTCCCAAATTCCCAAACTGAGATTTTTTCACCTTCTAATCATAATATTAAAGGAAAATATAATTAACATTACCTGTTAAAAAACCACGAGGGTGAAACCATTGGAAACTTGTACAGGATAATATTTGGAAATAGTCTGTTGTTTTATATAGGTAACTAAGTAAAAAATATCCTTATTTGTAACAGGAAGAAAATGGCAGCATGACTCTACTGACCTTGCCGAAGCATCACCTGCAGATACATGTACCAACCAGGTAAATATACATTTTTATAATTAAGTAAAAGCATCGAGTTACTGATCAAAGATATGCCGTGGTGGCCCGGAGGTCTAAATCAAATCAATCAAATCATTTATTTCGGTTGCAAACATGGGTTATAAAATATACAAAAGGGTACTTTCCCCACTGACGTCGATGCGGACGAATTTTTCGACGCTTTATGTAAATAGTTGTTTTTGTTTTTTTCTTATAATTAATTTTAATCTTTAGTTGTATATAGGTATTTAATTTAGTAATATTTAGTTTTAATTTTTTAGTTTTAATTTAGTAATATTTAGTTTTAATTTTTTTTTTAAGTAATAGTTAGTTTTTAATTTAAGTTTTTTACAAAAGGTGTTTAATATTTATAGTATGGTTCTCCACATTTTGCCATTATGGCATGCAAGTATCTCCTAATCAATTTATCTACAAGTGTAACTTATACAACCTCATACAATATACATTACCAATAAATTAGGAATTGAAATAATTATAATTATTGAATGTCAAGAAAGATGAAATTAAAGGTATCATATTATTAATAAGTCAGTAAGTCGTCATTAAGAAAGTCGTCAATATTATAATAGCATTTGTCAAGCAAAAGTTCTTTTAGTGTCTTTTTAAATTTCAATATAGTCATACTTTTCATAACATCTGGTACCTTATTAATCTTGGTCTAAGACGCCCGCTTCTCATATATGAGGGTGTTCGAAACCTACCAACAGCAAGCACCAATGTGACCTTTTCCGAGTTATATGTTTATGTGTGGGAGACCCATGCTTCGGCACGAATGGGCCGGCTCGACCGGAGTGATACCACGGCCGAGCAGAAAACCATAGTGAAACAACGCTTGCGTTTTGTTTCGTCGTGTAAGTGGGAGTGAGGTTACCAGAGGCTCAATTACCCCCTCTCCAGTCTCCCCAATCCCCGAATCCCCCACAATTCTCAAATTCCCAATTCCCAAAAGGCCGGTAACGCACTTGTAACACCTCTGGTGTTTCAGGTGTCTTACCATTGCTTACCATCAGGTGATCCGTCTGCTCGTTTACCGGTTTATCATATAAAAATGTACTTTCTAAGATTATTTAGACACCACTAGGAAATTGTGAAGGAAAACATCGTGAGGAAACCTGAGCTTATAATTTCTAATTGTAAGAAATCGCCAACCCGCATTAAGTAAGCGTGGCAATTAATGCTCAAACCTTCTCCGTGTGAGAAGAGGCCTTTGGTCAGCAGTGGCCACTTATAGGCTGTTGATCTGTGTGTACCTACTTTCTTTTTTGGTATAAGTCTGCAAGCAAGAGAATAGCAATCAGTGCAACAATGTGAGTTACAAGTAACAGAGCCTTGCTGGACTTTTAATTTTAAATCTAACTAGCTACTTCCGCGCGGTTTCACACGCTCTGCTCAGCTCCCATTGGTCGTAGCGTGATGTTTTATAGCCTATAGCCATCCTCGATAAATGCGCTATCCAACACAAAAATAATTATTGAATCCAGACTTCTAGTTACGGAGATTTGGGATTGGGAATTTGAAGATTGTTGAGGATTCAGGGAGTTTGGAATGGTGGGGGGATAATATCGCTCCGGTCGAGCCGGGCCATTCCTGCCGAAGCATAGCTCTTGCACACTTCTACATATTAAAAGAAAAACATCGATACATATTTGACGCAATAAAATAACGTCACAACACAATGCATAATCCAAAACAAAAATCACAGAAAAAGTTTTGGTAATTTCGAAAAAAGCACCTATTGAATTTAACCCATTGGAAAGTACGACATCGGCATATCGCATAGGTACTTACCACATACCCGACGGTAATAATGCGTGTTATGACTTGTTACCTAGTTACTTCGGTCACACATCAAGCTATGAAAAAACCAGTATAAACTGACCTTCCAACGTACGGAAAGATCATATAAGGCGAGACCATGATAAAATGCACTAAACGAGACCGTGTTCGACGCTCTGATTGGTTGTTTCATGGGAGCCGGCCAATCAAAACGCCGAACACGGTTTCCTTTCGATTACTTGCAACGTAAAGCATTACGGATAAAGCTGCTATAAAGTTAGCGCGGTCCCAGCTCGGAGCAGTCAGAACAGCACCTGTCACATCTAGGTCGTCTCGTCATCAGTCTCACATAAAGAGGAGTCATTGGATTTTTGCTACTTCCAAAAAGCGAAACCTTGGATACAGGGGCTTCCAACCGATCGATGTTAAAGACATTGGGGGAAGCTTATGTTTAGCAGTAGACGGCTTTTTTTGAGGGGATAAAACCATCGAGTGATTTCTCCTGTCTGGGTGAGGCGGAAGGGAGTGTCAGGCTCCTACTGACTAAAATCCATCCCGTTTCTACTCTTGCCCTTCGCTTCGAGCCTGAGCCCCAGTAACCCGTTAAGTTCTCCGAGGCTCCGTATCGGCATCAGCCCAATTGGGCCCCATCCGCGGTTGTCTGATGGCTCTTTGAGGCGCGCGCGCAACGCTCGGCGCCGCACGGTCGAGTCTGGTTCTGGTCGGGCGGTGAGCTACCCATGCTCGCCGTCCGCAGGCCCGTGCTTAGCAGTAGACGGTTTGTGGCGTTGAGGCTAATATTAAAATGATGTAATATTTAGAGAAATTTCTCTGTCAACAACATCGTCATCTTGACTTGTTTACCCGAAAGTCCCCGAACTCAATACCTATCTACATAAAGAAATATTTCCTTACGTCGAAAATATGTTATGTACCTACAAACGTATGGAGAATGATGGGTCTCCCCGGAATGTACAAACAGGTATATGTAACCAGTTTTATCATGGTCTCGTTTTATATGATCTTTTCGTACGTTGGAAGGTCACTTTATACTGGTTTTTTCATAGCTTGATGTGTGACCGAAGTAAATAGGTAAAAAGTCACAATACTCATTATTACCGTCGGGTATGTGGTAAGTACCTATGCGATATGCCAATGTCGTACTTTCCAATGGGTTTAATTCAATAGGTGCTTTCTTCGAAATTACCAAAACTTTTTTCCGTGATTTTTGTTTTGGATTATGCATTGTGTTGTGACGTTATTTTGTTGCGTCAAATAGGTAAGTATCGTTATTTTTCTTAAATTGTGTAGAAGTGTAGAAGGGCTATGCTTCGGCACAAATGGGTCGGCTCGACCGGAGCGATACCGAAACTATGTAAATAGAGAATTGTATTGTGAACCTAATTGAAAAAAAGTAACTTATGGAGTTTCTTGCTCGTTCTTCTCCATAGGAATCTACACCTTGGAATGAGCAAGTAGCTTCACTTTTAATTTTTATGTTGACGTTCAAAAGTGCCTTTCTGGTCTAATTGAAATAAATGATTTTGACATTGACTTTGACCTTGGCCTCACAGAAAACCGACGTGAAACAACGCTTGCGTCACGTCGTGCTAGTGTTGTTACCGGAGACCCAATTATTCCCCCTTTCAATCCCTGAATACCCAACAATCTTCTAATTCCCAATTCCAAATGGCCAGTAACGCACTTGTAATTCCTTTTGTGTTTATCTTTTCCTGGAATAAATTTTATAATTACCGAAGTATAAAATACATGTAAATATATACCTAGACCCGAGCGTACGGCGCGTCGCGTTCCACGCGCGCCTCAAAGAGCCATCAGACCACAGATGGGGCCCAATAGGGCCGATGCCGATTCGGAGTCGCGGAGAACCTAACGGGTAACCGGGGCTCTGGCTCGACGTGCAGGAGAAGGACCGGGGTGGTTTTTAGTCAGTAAGAGTCTGACACTCCCTCCCACCTCACCCACGCGGGAGCAGTCATTCGATGATTTTCCCCCCTTAAAAAAAAAATTACCTACCCTACAGGGTGCCTACCTACTCGTTTTATACGTGGATAGACCTTCCGACCTACCCAAGACATTCACAGATGCCTAATTAGAAGCAGGGTTTGCCTAGCTGTTGAAGCCAGCGGCTTTGCTCGCGTCCCCAGTGTTAAAAAGTAGCCCATATTTTAATCCAAACCATAATCTATCCCTGTTCCTAATTTCATCACGATCCCTTCAGCCGTTTATACGTGATTCAGTAACAAACATACAAACATTCGCTTTCATAATAATACTAGCTTTTACCCGCGGCTTCGCTCGCGTCACAAAAGGATAAAAAGTAGCTTATGTAACATATACCAATACACACAGCGCCATCTATACCAATACTTTTGTTTTCCCTCGGGAATATCACATTTTTTCCGGGATAAAAAATACCCTATTATTTAATCCGGACTTTTAACTTTACGTCTGCAAAATTTCAAAGCAATCGGTTTAGTAGTTACGGTGTGAAAGCGGAACAGACGAACAAACTCACTTTCCGATTTATAATATTAGTAAGGATTAGTAAAGCCACAAGTAACATTCAGGGTTAATTAAATGAATACCTGATAATAATTTAGGTACCTATATATTACTATACGGTGACGTCATGTGCATATGTGACTCCATTCACGTATTCATTAAACTTACACTATATTACCGCTTTTGGGTAAACAGGATAGTGTCTGCGGGTTTAGTACAAGTTTTTGTTTTACGTTCAAAGTACCTAATCGGAACGAGACTGCGTTTGGCGCTATCATTGGATAGTCAATTGAAGATGGCCAATCGGAGCGCACAACGCGGTCCTGTTATGATTACTTTGAACATTAGATGAACTTGTATTAGGGCCTTTTTTTCAGACTCTTATTCACTAAACATCACCCCGTTTCTATTTCTGCGCTGTGCCGTGAAACCAAACGAGCTGAGAGATACTTCTATGAGTCAGAATTGGGTACTTGTCGACTAGTCAAATTCAATACTTTTTTCAAACTGTCAAAAACAACAGTTTTCTATGAACTTTGTATAAGATTGTGTATTGTGACGTCACTGTATAAGATTGTGTATTGTGACGTCACGTTTTTTTAGCAGCAATCAGCATACTTATTTCTTAGAAATTTGCTGGAAAAATATTAAAATTAAGTTGGTCATAAAATCAATTAATAACAGTGTGATTATTTTTAACCGACTTCAAAAAAGGAGGAGGTTATACGTTCGGCCGGTATGTTGCTTTTTTTAATATTTGACTGTAATGAACAGTTGAAATAATTAATTTTTGATTTAGGCTAGTACCCAATTATGTCTGCATGTGTGTCGTGGTGTAATCAACGGTTTTTTTTCCTTCTTTTCAATTTCCAAAAATCTAAATAAAATAAGTACTTTGCGTGACCTGACAAATCAGATGAATCTAGATGGGATTTCATGTCGCGGGGAACCTAACGGGTTACCGGGGCTGCGGCTCGACGTGCAGGAGAAGGAACGAGGTGGGTTTCAGTCAGTAAGAGTCTGACACTCCCTCCCGCCTCACCCAGGCGGGAGCAGTCATTAGATGATTTTCCCCCTTAAAACAAAAGTTGGGAATCCATGCATAAAATTTTATGACGATAGGACTAAGGAAACAGCCAAAATTCCGCATTACGTTGTAATAATTCTAATAAACTCGATTTTAATTTAGGAAATCGACTGCGCCATATTACATAGGTACATTATCTTTAACCGTATGAGGAAAATGCGGGGATATCCGCAGTAATCCGAATCGTAACGGATAACCTCGACACGAGATGTCGAATTCAAATGAAATGCGATAGTAATTTGTTTATGATTCGAATTGTTATTGGGATAGGTATAACTAGCCATTTTAGGCAACTTGAATAGGCTGGCTGGACTGGGGTAGTACTCTCTCACAGAATACCAACGTTTCTTCTAGTAAAAGTGAGAGTGAGAGATATAATAGCAATAGCTTCACTTTTAATTTTATTATTGACGTTCAAAAGTGCCTTTCTGGTCTAATTGAAATAAATGATTTTGACTTTTGACTTTGACTTTGATATCCAATCCGGTGTTTGATTACACCATCCAATGATGTTATAATTTTTTTTCTAGGATGAGCTGGTAAACGTGCTCGTTTACCAGCTCATCAGACGGATCACCTGATGGTAAGCAATCGGCGTCACCCATGGACACCTGGAACACCAGAGGCGTTACAAGTGCGTTACCGGCCTTTTTGGGATTAGGAGTTTGAGGATTGTTGGGGATTCAGGTTTTGGTTGTTATGTTCTTAAGTGCAACAACTATGCTCTTTTTTCCATCAATAGATTGTCATGAGCTGTCGATCTTGATGTCGCACTCAGCCACTAACAAAACAGCCTAGACTAGATCAGTATCTTCTTTGAAAATGCTTCTATAACCTCATTAGTTGTGTAGTTGGTATATTGGACTATTGGAGGGGAGTTATTGGGCCACTGGTAACCTCATTTACACGAGGAAACACAACGCAATCGTTGTTTCACGTCCGTTTTCTGTGAGGCCGTGTATCACTCCGGTCTCCGGGAAGCATGGCTCTCGCACACCTAAAAAAGTTAAAACGTGTAGATACTTAGATAGGTTACCTAAGCAACATTCGATTTTAAAAATTGGTACACTGATGCACACATGAATATGTTGACAGCGTAACGCAAATCTGAGGTAAATTGTGGCCAATTGTCCACATTTGATTTCTAAAAAGGCCTCGGAGCTAAAATGTTTGCCTGCGACCTTTATACCACGCTCCTGATCACTTGAATCTATACTTTCATGGACCTGAGGCCTAGTATGAGTTTGTTGCACGTTTAAAGTAATCGAAACGAACGAGTACGTGTTCGGCGCTCTGATTGGTTGGTTCTTTGGAGGCGGCCAATCAGAGTGCTAAGCTCACTTCACTTGAATAACTATCGCATTCGTAACGTAACAGTATCGAGCGCGTTCAGCGCTCTGATTGGGCGGCTCAAGTAAACCAACCAGAAACGCTTAACTCGCTCGATACTGTCAAACGCGTACTCGTTTCGATTACTTTAAAAGTAAAACAAACTTGTACTAACTCTAAGGCCTTAGTATAAGATTGAGATTCCCTTAATAAAATTTCCTACGGGTCCCTCGCTCAATTAATTCGCCACTACCGATAGTAGTATAAAAAAGTTTTTATCCTTGTTTTTAGCCTTGTATTTTCTCGTAATTTACCTTACAGTTTAAAATGTTAATTTTAAGTTTGTGCAACTGATAAAAATATGTACTTACTTATTAAAGAACATGAACTGTACATAACCAGTGTATCATGGTCTTGCTTATGCCGTCTACTGAGAGTCGAATATGCCGAAAGATGAAACAATCTTTTTTTTATAGCATAAGCCGGTAAACGATCAGACAGATCACCTGATGGTAAGCAATCGGCGCCGCCCATGGACACTCGAAACACCAAGGCGTTACAAGTGCGTTACCGGCCTTTTGGAAATTGGAAATTTGAGGATTGTGGAGGATTCGGTAATCGGGAGACGGGGACTAGGGAGGAGGGTAATTGGGCCTCCGGTAACCTCACTCACACGACGAAACACAACGCAAACGTTGTTTCACTTCGGTTTTCTGTGAGGCCGTGGTATAAGACCGTATTCCTTTTTAAAAAGCCGGCAAAGCACCTGTGACTCCTCTGGTGTTGCGGGTGTCCATGGGCGGCGCTGATCGCTTACCATCAGGTGATCCGTATGCTCGTTTGCCTCTTGTTCCATAAAAAAAAATCACTATTGTCGAGCCGGCCCATTCGTGCCGTGCTTTCGGCATATTCGACGCTCAGTAACACATTGTTATGTGTGTGTGTGTTACATAACATCACGCCTTTTATCCCCGAAGGGGTAGGCAGAGGTGCACATTATACCACTGTACAATGTAACACCCACTTTTCACTATTTATGTTATGAGTCCCATGTACATTGGCATTACCATATACCGGGCACATTTCCAGACTCCGTGCTACTACTGAGGTTTTTACAAACCCAGCAATACTTTACCCGATCCGGGAAACCAACCCGAGACCCCTTGCCCGGCAGTCGTACATGCGACCACTCGACCAATGAGGCAGACTTACTTACTTAAAAAACCACCCCGTTCTTTCTCCTGCACGTCGAGCCGGAGCCCCGGTAACCCGTTAGGTTCTCCGCGACGAGAATCACGCTTAAGTCACATACAAATACTCACTCTACAAACTACTCAATCAAATTTTCCCAGACAGGATAACAAAATAAACAATAACACAATTTATTTCGTCATTTAAAAATTTAATTTCCCATACTATTGAACAATGATCGTAGTTTATCAACTGTTTATTGGGAAATACCTAAGTATCCCCAATTACGATTGCAAAGGATGGGCAAACCCAGACTTGAGGAAAAGATTCCTAAAGTTATTATTTTGTTAAACTGTCAAACACCAAGCGGTCACCGGTGACCGCGACCTATTGTTCTTTAATTGTGTCTATAAAACCGGTACTCGACGAGTTAAACTTTTATTTTTGTTTTTGGATGACGACATTCTTTCAGAACATGTTTTAGTCGTGTTTCTTGTGGGATAGGCCGGCGGACGAGTAGACGGATCACCTGATGGTAAGCACAGCCTATGGACACCCGAAACACTATACCGATATCCCCATATTCCTCAAAGTCCCAACTTTGGGGAATGGGGACTTTTAGGATATGGGGAATAGGGACAATTAGGATATGGGGAATGGAGACATTGGGGATATGCGGAATGAGGACGGAGAGGAATTGGGCATCCAGTGTACAATGATTTATTTATTTATAAGCACATGTATAACTTTACAGCACAAGCCAAAACATTATACAGTTAAACAATAAAAAAATGTTACTTATTTACTATTTTACACTTATGTGATAGGTATCTTATATAAAAAAGTACAATAATTATAATTACTTAAAACTAATTCATCAGCCGTCCATCTTCTCACAAAATCTTACACATTCACGACATACATCCTTCCATCTCGCTGCGAACAAATCACACTCTGGTGCGGATGCCAGGAAAGCATTGATCATCGTTAATGCTCGAACAAGCGGAGAATTTGCATGCGCGACTGTTCGCGGTACTGGGACAGCCAGTAAGGGGTACCTACGTGGCCTAAGCTGATGCTGATGATGTAATCTTATTGCATAATCGCTTAAACGTCACTTCTTTTATTATTCGAAGAATTAGACAAACGTGCTCATCTTTTTGACACTCACTTTCGGCTATAATAGAGGGTTAGCCTATTGCTATTGCTGTATACTGAGACCAATTCCAAACTTCTTACTGGCAATTTTTACAACACCAAAAAATACCCCAATATCTTTTACTCAACCCGGAAGTCGAACCCGATACCTCTGGCTCACTCTTGGGACTACTCCTTTGAGTCCCAAGTAGTACGGGCGGAAATTGGCTAAATTCCCGTAAAAATTAAAAAGTGTAAGCGAACAGTAAAATCGCCTCTACCAAACCTGCAATAAAGTTTACTTTCCATTACACTTTATTAACTTCTTACTTTTCCTTGTTCCAGCCAAGCTGACAGCCTGCTAAAGCTACGAGAAATGCTCTGGAAGACATTTGAGTACCACATAGAAAGAGACTTACAGACTCTCGACTTTAATGACAACGAAATAGTGTCGAAATTCAAAGTGCGTCTTGTCAAAACCATTGGAAGAGTGCTGGTAGAAGCTCATAAGCAATACGTTGAGGGAAAATCTTTGATCGAAGACCTTGGAGATGTTGAATTTAGATAAAATAAAATATGAAAATAATTTTCTCGTTTGATTTTTCTTTTTTTATTTGTGTGTATATTGTTCAACATAATCTACATACCAGACAATGACCTTAAAATTAATTTAAAATAAGAATACGCTTAGTATTTTCGGATTGTTAATTGTAAAAAAAGAATAGGTAATAGAACCTCCTGAAGTAATAACATTTTTATCAAAAAAAAAATGTTTAAATATATTGCCCCACACTAGTATTTTCCCCTGTGTCGTAGGAGCGTTTACAAACATACAAACTTAGAAATGAGTAGCCTTTCAGTATTGGGGCGTTAGGGCCGATTTTTCCAACGCAACGCCAGATAAATTTTAACTGAGTAATAACTTTGAACATTTGACAATTCATACTAAAAACTGTCAAAACTGTTTTCTTCATGTATTTGGGAAGCACCGGTCTTGATTGTTTCGGTGTTTTCATGGTTCATATTATTTTCTATTGTAGTGGTTCTCAAAGGGCTGGGCCACTACCTATCTTAACCCCTTGTGTTTAGAAAATACATTGTGTTTCGCGTGGATCCACGTTTAGACACAAAACGGGTTAAAGAGTTTAATGTATTGCAGTGGCTACTTATAGCCACTGCAATCCTACACTACACTACAATAGCCCTTAGGCTAAAATCCAAACATTAATAAAAGGTAATTTCTGGTTGCTTCCCTCAATGACAGAAATGTGATTGTATGCATGTATCATCGGTTACCACCTGGCGACATAGTGGTCAAACGTCGACCCATCGAATATAAATATATAGGTACCTACATAGATTATGTATCTTTGCCATGTGTGCCTGTCCAGTTCCAACGCAAAAGGAAATTCATATCAAACATCGTTCTTACTACCACATTGAATAGGTACGGACAGACGAAACCCCGGGTTTCAACTAACAGTAAGTATTTATAAAACAAAGTCGTTCGTTTTATGTTAGACATTCATTCATAAAGTTTAATAAATTGAGTGCGTATTATCCACTCTAGGCTATATGTGACGCGAAACCATAATAAAGAAAAAAATGTGTTTAAAATAAAATCGTAATCTACATACTTACATACATACATACTAAAGTTTTTTTTTAAGGGGGGAAATCATCGCATGACTGCTCCCGCCCGGGTGAGGCGGGAAGGAGCGTCAGACTCTTACTGACTAAAAACCACCCCGTTCCTTCTCCTGCACGTCGAGCCGGAGCCCCGGTAACCCGTTAGGTTCCCCGCGATACAACATAAGCGGTAGTTCGTTCGCCATAGGTGTTGTAGGCGCGCTGAGTATGAAGCCTATTATCAGAAATTGCCCGAGTACCTACATATAGATCAATAAAGGTAAAATTGAGGTAAACCACAAAATATGGTTGAAAAACGTGGGGTAAACTTTATTTATTTGCTAGTTGGGGGTAAAGTTTTGTTCGCTTAACTGCCTCATAGACCGAGTGGTCGTAAGTGCGAGTGGGGGAAAGAGGGCTTGGGTTCGATTCCCGGGTCGGGCAAAGTATTACTGGGTTTTTTAAAAGAAATCTTAGTGGTAGCACTGAGTCAGTCTGGAAATGTGCCCGGTATATGGCAATAGGCTCACCCTCTATTACATGGGACTCATAACATAAATAGTGAAAAGTGGGTATTACCTCTGCCTACACCTTCGGGGATAAAAATCGTGATGTTATGTATTATGTCATGAACTTAACTTTGCGGTAGTTTTTAGTAGTTAGTAACTGAAATACAACTACTTATATCAACTTAACTGTCCCTATACAATAAAATTTACAATTACTCCACGCCCATTGTTGTTTTAAAGGTCAGGTTTTATGCTACACGTCCACGTAGTTTTTATTAGAATTTGTTGCCACGCTAGTCCCCCCTTGCCCGATAGTCGCACTTGCGACCACTCGGCCATCGAGGTAATCGAGCAAAGTTAAGTACGACGGTTCATTAATCTGCCGTCACCACCCGACACTGGCAGTATAGTCTACAACATCGTGTAGGAGACTCGGTTGCCAAAGAAAAAAAAAGTAGTTGTAAAAAGTTACAGGTTTAAAAGCCACTGCGCCAAACGTACCTGCAATCACTTTAAAAACCCCGTAGATAAATACAATTATTATTATCTATGTACTAAAATATCTTACAAATACTAAAACAGGTATAACATAAATAATCTAGGAATATCCAATCGGGAAAAAGATGCTTTACGCAGGAAAACCCTAGGTAAATACCTAACTAATGTTTTCCCGATACTGAAAACCACTTTCTTCGAAAAAACCCAATCGATTAATCGGTTATAGAACATTAGAACGTGTGTGATTCGATACACTCGGCGCTCTTGCGTTCCGGTAATAACTAGGTACGTACGAGACCTATGACCATTTACGCATCGCTGTATTTTACGTAAACTTACAAGTCCACATTGAAACTACGATTATAAATAAAACTCGTCACGTGGAGAGCCATGCTTCGGCACGAATAGGCCTCGACCGGAGTGATACCTCGACCTCACAGCAAACTGGCATGAAACCACGTTACCTACATTGAATTGCTTTATGGTTTCTGCTTATACCTATTTTTACCGACTTCAAAAAAAGGAGGAGGTACTATGTTCGGCTGATTGTTTTTTTTTTTTTTTTTTTTTTGTTTGTTCGCGCAGTACTCCGCCGTTTGTGGACCGATTTCAAAAATTTTTGTTTTGTTTGAAAGGGTATACTCCCGAGATGGTCCCATTTCCATGAAGTCAGGATCTGATGATGGGATCCTAGGGAAACCGAGGGGAACTTTCGAAAATTCTATGGGGGAGTAATGCGTCTATTATGTTTTTCAATTACGAATTTTAAACACTACAATTTAATAAGGGTCTGGAGTCGACCTGATGATGGAGTCGACAGACAGTCGAGGGAACTCCTCAGCGGTTTATATTAACTACCTTGTGTTTGGGCTTGATTAATTTGTATTGATGAGGACTTTACACCTAGATAGAGTGGGGCTGTCATTAAGGGTCTGATGATGAAGAAGTGTAATTGTTAAAGGAACTCCTCAACGGTATACAGTAACTACCTTGAGTTTGGGCTTGATTAATTTGTATTGATGAGGACTTTGCACCTATGTATATTATAAGTAACAAAACGGGTATATGTAGCTTTACACTGAAAATGGTAAAATAATAAAATAAAAACTGCGTTTAAAAAACCGACTTCAAAAACCAAAAACTAATAACAAACAAAAAGTCAATACTAAAAAGCAAAAAATAACTATTATTAGTACTGATAGGTTACCCACCCACTGATAGGTTAGAAGTCGGTGCCATAAGCTCATATCATAATGATATAACTTAATGTCCACAAAATTGTGAATTAGATACCTATTAAGGTTTTAATGAATAATTTTGTATGGAACTTATGGCACCGACTTCTTACCTATCAGTGGGTGGGTAACCTATCAGTACTAATAATAGTTATTTTTTGCTTTTTAGTATTGACTTTTTGTTTGTTATTAGTTTTTGGTTTTTGAAGTCGGTTTTATGATATTCAGTTACAGAGTTAGCTGAAAACATAATATTATAGATAGAAATATCAACAAACAAATTACTGCTTTAGGATGAAATTAAAAAAATTGTATGTTTTTAAAATAACACTACGTAATTTGAAATTAGAATTCTTAGCCAAACAATTTTTTTTATTTGAAACGGCCAGTACTACAGAACGGCAAGTTCATAGATAAAGGATAGACCTATTAATTAATTTAGTATGTCTCACAAAAGTTTTATATAGAAACAAGTGAATTTATTTCTGCAAATTGGCTACAAGGCAGCACTTTTACATGTCAATTTTATCAAGCGAACGATAAGGTCGACATTTCCTAACTGACTACTTAACTCTGAGAAGAAATACCGAAACAACCTCTGAGGTCCGTCTCTTCTTTTTTTTCTTTTTTTATTAGGTATACCTAAAGGTACTGGATGTCTAAACCCCTCAATGTGCCGGCAACGTACTTGTACCTAACTATTCTTGTGTTGAGAGTGTCCATGAGCGGTGCCGGATTGTTTACGGTACTTCGTATTCTCGTTTAAATCATCCCATCCCATAAAAAAAAAACTCGATACGCATACCTACGCAATGTGGGTACTCACTCGGGAAAATGTACTTTTCTTGTGACGCTCATCTCAAATTTACTTATAAGAAATATATTATTTACTACCAATTAATTGCATAAGTACACAGATAGATAGGTACTTTACCCTTGTTAGGATTATGACGTGCCTGTGAGTTTCCCCCTAAGTTTTTAGAAATTAAATACTTAATTACTATTGTTTTGAGAGTTTACGCATGCAAGTACTTAGGTACCAAGTAAAATAAGTAAAATATATAAGTAAATATTTAGGTACCAAGTGAGAATTATCTCGACCAATGACGAGCGAGAATGCGATGCTTGCTTTGAGACCTCGAATTGATATCATACAGAATAAGCTGAACTTTAAACTGCGATCTTCGAACCGATCTGTCAAGCGGGCAAACTCTTTTCATGCAGAGGAGTCCTCGCCGTCCGACCAGAACCAGACCCGTGCGTACGCCGCGTCGCGTTCCGCACGCGCCTCAAAGAGCCATCAGACCACCACGGATGGGGCACAATAGGGCTGATGCCGATATGGAGCCGCGGAGGAGTTAACGGGTTGTCGGGGCTCCGGATAGAAGGACATGAGTAGGAACGGGGTGGTTTTTAGTCAGTAAGAGTCTGACACTCCCTCTCGCCTCACCCGGGCGGGAGAAGTCATTGGATGATTTGCCCCCCTCAAAAAAAAACAAGTATATACTATATACACCAGCTACTTACCAATAAAAGTCGTTCAAAATCCGTCCAGCCATTCCAGAGATTAGCCAGTACAAACAGACTGACAGTTGTAATAAATGTGCATCGTATGTATATCCATATGCATTGTAATAAACAGCGGTTATTTTAATAAAATACAAGCAGACAGTCCAACTTTATTTACCTGTGTAATT